GGCTGCAGTTTGAAACTACCAGCTGTTCTGTGGGAGAAAGATGAGGCTTTCTGCTCCCGTAAAGCTTTACAGCCTCTGAAACCCTGTGCTATGAGTCGGAACTGACTCCACTGCACATAACCACAACAACAACAACCAACTTCTTCAGAGTCCTGGTGTGGTACTGTAGGTTAATGTGCTGGACTACAATGTCGGTTTAAACTGTAAGGTCAGAGGTTCAAGCTCACCAACCACTCCTAAGAAACCTTATACAGGGTCACTATGAGTCGGAACTGACTTGATGTCACTTAACAATAACAAACCAACTTCTTCAGTCTGAAATTGATCAAACATGCAATCAAGATGTATTACTGGTGATTGGAATGCAAAGGTTGGAAACAAAGAGGAAGGATCAGTAGCTGGACAATATGGCCTTGATAATAGAAATGATGCTGGAGATCACATGATAGAATTTTGCAAGACCACTGACTTCTTCATTGCAAATAAAATTTTAAAATAACATAAATGATGACTATACACATGGATCTCACCTGATGGAATACACAGAAATCAAAAGATTACATCTGTAGAAAGAGACAGTGGAAAAGCTCCATATTATCAGGCAAAACAAGGCCAGGGGAAGACTTTGGAACAGACCATCAATTGTTCATGTACTTAATCAGGCTGAAGCTGAAAATTTGTATTTTTAAAAGTCCAGAAGAGCCAAAATATGACATTGAATATATTCCACCTGAATTTAGAGATCATCTGAAGATCAGATTTGATGCATTGGATATTAAAGACCAAAGACCAGAAGAGTACTGGGAAGACATAAAGAACATCATACAGGGAAAAAAATAAAAGGTCCTTAAGAAGACAAGAAAGAAGGAAAAGACTAAAATGGATGTCAGAATTGACTCTGAAACTTGTTCTCCATCATAGAGATACTAAAGCAAATGGAAAACACGAGGAAATAAAAGAGCTGGATAAAAAATTCCAAAGGCCAGCTTGAGAAGACAAAGTTAAATATTATAATGAAATGTGCAAAGATCTGGATTTAGAAAAACAAATGGGAAGAATGCACTCAGCATTTCTCAAGCTGAGGGAACTAAAGAAAAAAATTCAAGCCTCGACTTGAAATATTGAAGGGGTCTGGTGTGGCGCTGTGGGTTAATGCGCTGGACTGCAAAGTCATTTGAACTGCAAGGTTGGCAGTTCAAGCTCACCAGTCACTCCTCGGAAACCAAATACAGGGTTGCTATGGGTCAGAATCGACTCGACAGCACACAACAACAACAAAATGGACAAAATATCAATGATGCAGAAAGCATCAGAAGATGGAAGGAATACACAGCGTCACTATACCAAAAAGAAATAGTCACTATGCAACCATTTCAAGAGGTAGCATATGATCAAAAGTCCATGGGATTGGAGGAAGAAGTCCAAGGTGCATTGGCAGAATTGGCAGCATTGGAAAAGAACAAAACACCAGTAATTGATGGAATACAAATTGAAATCTTCCAACAAAATGATGCAGCACTGGAGGAACTCACTCATCTATGCCTAGAAATTTAGAAAACAATGACCTGATTGACTTACTGGAAGTGATCCATAGTTGTGCCCATTCCAAAAAGAGGTGACCCAATAGAATGTTGAAATTATCATTAATATTGCATACAAATAAAATTTTGCAAAAGATAATATAAAAATGGCTGCAACCATACATTGACAGAGAACTTCCAGAGGTTCAAGCCGGATTCAGAAGAGGATGTGGAACAGAGGATATCATTGTTGATTTCAAATGGATCTTGGCTGAAAGCAAGAATACCAAAAGGTGTTTACCTGTGCCTTATTAATTATGTAAAAGCTTTTGATTGTGTGGATCATGACAAGCTATGGAACACATTGCAGAGAATGAGTATTCCAGAACACTTAATTGTGCTCATGAGGAACCTGTATATAGATCAAGGGGCCGTTATTCGAACAGAACAAGGAACACCAAATGGTTTTACATTAGGAAAGGTGTGTGCCAGGGTTGTATTCTTTCACCATACTTACTCAATCTGTATACAGAGCTAATAATCTGAAAAACTGGATTACATGGAGAAAAAAACAACACGTGGCATCTGGATTTGAGGAAGACTCGTTAACATGCAGATTATACAATCTTGCTTGCTGAAAACAATGAGGACTTAAAATACTTACTGAAGAAGCTCAAAGACCACAGCATTTGGCATGAGTTGCACTTCAATGTAAAGAAAACAATAATCATCACCACCAGACCAATAAATAACATTCATATAAATGGAGAAAAGATTGAAGTTGTCAAAGACTTTTGTTCGGATCAATCATCAACACTCGTGGACATAGCAGTCAAGAAATCAAATGACATATTGTATTGTATTAGACATATCTACTATACAAGACCTCAAGAGCAAAAATGTCATTTTAAGGACTAAGCCATAGTGTTTTCAATAACCTCATATGCATGTGAAAATTGAACAGTGAATAAGGAAGACTGTAGAAGAATTGAAGCATTTGAGTATGGTGTTGGAGGAGACTATTAAAAGTACCATGTACTGCCAAAAGAACAAACCAATCTGTGTTGAAATAAGTATAGCCAGAATGCTCCTAGGAAGTCAGGATGTCCAGACTTCATTTCTCAGTACTTCAGACATATTATCTAGAGGATCCAATTCCTGGAGAAGGATATAATGTTTGGTAAAATGGAGGGTGGGAGAAAGAGGAAGACCCCCAATGAGATGGATCGGCACAGTGGCAGCAGCAATAGACTAAAATATATACGATTGTAAGGTTTGTACAGGACTGGACAGTGTTCCACTCTGTTGCACAGCGGCTTTCAATGAGTCGGTATTCCCTGATACCTAACAACAAGAACAGGGCGGCAAGCCTTTGCAGGATTGTTGTTGTTGTTAAGTGCCATCGAGTCAGTTCCGACCCATAGCGACCCTGTACAGGGTTTCCGAGGGTGTAAATCTTTACGGGAGTATTTTTATCTCGCAGTCTTGCAGAGCAGCTCAAACCGTCTATCTTGCTGTTGGTATGAGCCGCTGAGTCAGTTCTGACTTATAGCGAACCTATATTGGATTTCCAAGGAGTGGCTGCTGAGTTTGAACAGCCAACTTCGAGGTTCGTAGTCCAGTGCTTAAGGAGCTCTGGTAGCGTAGTGGTTGTGAATCAGGCTGCGAACCTCACTGTCAGCAGTTCGAAACTACCAGCTGCTCCGAGGGAGAAAGCTGAGGCGATCTGCTCCTGTAAAGATTTATAGCCTCAGAAACCCTGTTCAGGGTCGCTATGGGTCGAAACCGACTCGACGGCACTTAAGAACAACAACAACAAAGATTTACAGCTTCGGAAATCCTGTTACAGCATCGCTATGGGTCGGAACCGACTCCACGGCACATCACAACAACAACAATAGTCCAGTGCTTATCCTACAGTGCCATACCAGGACTCCTTAGTGTGGCAAATTCCCATCATCTGCGAACAGGAACCGTTTTTTTTTTTTTTTTTTAATCCTTTGATGCTATCCCCAGATCTCCTGGCTGTAAAGAGGTGAAAAAGATCAGATATGTAGGCAGATGGATTGTGACACCCACAAGAGACTTACACAAGAACATCAAAAAAGTTAAACTGTCTAGGGATAAAACAAGTCTGATTTGTGATTTCTTTTTAAAATTAATATTTAATCCACTATCCGCGGGAGAAAGATGAGGCTTTCTACTCCCGTAAGGATTTACACCCTCGGAAACCCTGTACAGGGTCTCTATGGGTCGGAACCGACTTGACGGCACTTAACAACAACAACAACAACAATCAAGTGTGGATAAATCTCTGAATTCTGCCCTGCCCGGTCCTTGAAACTCCAAATACCTGACTGACATACTAACAGCTGTGGTGTGAATTAGTTGGTCCAAGCTTTTGGGCTGCTTCCAACTTCGCTATTGCTCACGCCCTACAGGTCAAGGAAAGAAGTGATGTAATGCACTTAGCTAGGTCACTTTAATTACAATGGAATGGAGGGGGGAGGGTTCACAGACCGTGACAAGTTTAGCACATGACAGGCCCTAGGGATGCAGGAAACAAAAACATTGGCACTCATTGGCTGCGCAGACTTCCGACCTAGCTATCTATCTCCAGGTCTTGGACCTTGAAACTCTGGTTTCCTGTGAAGAGGGGAGGAGCTACCTCGCAGAGCGTCAACCTAAAACACACACACAGCACGCAAGCTAGCAGCGTCCTCCTCCCTGCTGGGGTGGGCGTGGGGCCCAGTGTTTGGCACAGGATCTCCACAGGGTTCGTCCAAAGGCAGCAGCAGCGGCCCGGTTCGACGCGCAGAGCCCGCTGAGAACAGGCGTCCTCAGAAACTGGTGCCACCCAGGCTGGCTCCCAGTGAGCTGAGCTGTCGTCATTCATTTGCAGTGTCTCGACCGTCCCCTTTCAGTCTGGAGCTGGGCTTCGCCGAGGGTGCGAGGGGCCAGGGCGCAGAGTCATATCGAGTGGTGAACTCGGGAGCGCTGAGATTCCAGCGACCGAGGCTGCCCCGGAATTCCGTCCGGCGCTGCGGGACCCGCCGCGCCCCAGACCAGCTTGGCCCTGACTGCGGGGCCGAATCAGTTCACGTCGCCTGCAGCCCTGCTGGTCTCAGATCCAGATCCCAGGACTGAGCCCCACACTTCTTCCTCCTCCTGCTTCCCTTCCTCCCCCTCCTCCTGCACCTCCCGTCGCCGTGGGACCGGAGAAAGGCTGCGGCGCGGCAGGCGGCGGCCTGGGCGTCTGCAGCCGCGGGCTCGCGGGGGGCGCCGGCGCTGGGGGAAGGATGCTGCTCGAGGTCCCGGCGCCCTCGCCTTCTTCCCCGGCCTCCCGCTGGGGCTTTGTTATGGCCTGGACGCCGCGGGCCGCCCTTTGGTGAAGTCGCTTTCCGCCGCTGCACCTAGCGGGCGGGCGCGCGTGTGCCCGGGAGTGCGCGCCTGTGTGTGCAAGTCCCGACCTGCGGCCCCATTGTGCGGCCGCCCTTGGCGGCAGGGAACATGTGGGTGAACCCCGAAGAGGTGCTGCTGGCCAACGCGCTGTGGATCACCGAGAGGGCCAACCCGTACTTCATCCTGCAACGGAGAAAGGGGCATGCAGGCGATGGAGGCGGCGGCGGTGGACTGGCAGGTAAGAACCAACGGCCGGTCTTTGCGGACGGAGCCAGGAACGCTGCGGCGCCGCCAGTGGGGGCACCCGAGACGCCGCCCGGTCCCCTGAGACTGGGTGACCGCTGCTGGGCGTCCAGAGTCATGGTTTTTCAGACTGGAAGAGAATGCTTTGTTTCTGACCCTGTCGGGATGGTGTCCTTCAAGTACAGGAAACAAAATAAGTGGGTGATGTTGATAAAAATGGAGATGAGTGAGTGACGGGTAAGGGGAGAATTAATATTAGCCCTTATGAACTGATTGCGGTACCTAGACGCCCCCTCTTTACCCCAGCGCCCCCGTTTGTGTGTGTGTTTAATATCTCTTTCCATACGGGTAAGAGGGATGGAGGAAGGTTACATTTACTTCTCTCTCTTCATTGGCAATAGCTGGGTGAGGTATAAAATGCTCTTTTGTCTCCACGGAAGCAATCTGTAAGGAGCTGATGTGGTCATTTCCTATATTAGTTATGACCGAAGAGAACGAATAAAGAAACGAATTCTTTTGTTGCACATGAAACAAAAGCAAGTTATCTGGTTCTGGTTGTGAAAAATGATTAGCTGTACAACTGCATTTTAATTATTTTGATTCCATCACTTCATACCCATCCCCCTTACAAGCTATTATTATTAATGGAACTGTCACGGAAACAGTGATATCATTGAAGGTTATGGATCAGTTAAACCTATATTCCAAGTAGTGTGATATTACAAAGGTCTTCCTTATCAGACAAATTGTTTTCGTATTGGGAGGTTACAAATAACAGTTTTGAACTTGTACTATACTAGAGAAATTGGACCTCCCTCTCTCCCTGTTAGTTAGAATGTACAGAATTGGAATACTTCTTAGAGTGAAAAAGTTAGCAGAAGGAACAGTAGAACTTTAACCAGGAAAGAGATTTCAGAAAAGAGAGGAACTTTAACCTCTTCAGAGTTCCGAATGTACCACTCTCTAGCAGTTTGTGTGCCAGGGAAATTGTTGCTTTCAAAATGCTCATCTATCTTATAAAAGTTCTTAATGTGGTACGTATTTAGTTGTGTGATTATAATTTAGTTTCAGTGTTGGTTGTGTGTTTGAAAGATCTTTATAGTGTTTCAGATAGTCTATAGGTAAACGGCTCTTTCTGCACTTTTTTGTTCATAAAGGAAATAGGAGTATGTGAATTCCAGACCCTGTCTGGAAATTTGGATTAGTGGCCTGGAGTCAGGATTTTCCAGTTCATTTTATAGGAATTATCTAAGCATATACATTAATGTGGACTCATAATGTGGAGCTGAGGGACCAGCACTGGACTGAGAGCCACAGTACCACAGCTCAAACCCACCAGTTACGCCTTGGAAATGCCATACATAGGGTCGCCATGAGTCAGAAGGAGTCCTCATGTGGTGTTGTGGGTTAATGCGCCAGAATGCAAAGCAGTTTGAACTGCAAGGTCGGTTGTTCAAGCTCACCAGCTGCTCCTAGGAAACCCTATACAGGGTTGCTTTGGGTTGGAAACAACTCAATGGCACTTAACAACAACAACATAAGTCAGAACCAACTGGACAGCACTTAACAACATTAATATGTAGTTTGCATTTCTAATTTTGGGACCAACTTTTTCTTTTTTTAAACTAGAACGGTGATGTTAAGTAGATAATTACTGTAGTAACAAACAACATTTCTGGCCTGATGGCCTGGAGTTGTACTACATTACTTATTTTCCCAGCTCATTTGCTGTGGGTTTTGAGAAATGCAGAAACTGCTTTTCCTTTTTAAGGTTTCTATCTTGTTTCTACCGACTGTTAGAGCTATAATTGATTTGGAATCTTACTGTTAATGGCTTATTTCAGGTTGATAAATAGATCTTTTAAATTAAGAAATCATCACTATTGTACTTATTGCTAGAATAATTGAAATTATTGCCATGAGTGAAAATATGTTTGTCAGCAACAATTGTTCTCAATGTAGCATGAACATTTCAAGAAATCTTTGTGCTATGTATTATAAAAAGGAACAATAAATTGTTTTGTTTTGTTTTTTAATTTTTGTATTGAGTGAATTCTGACTAGTGTTGAGCCAGTATGTGTCAGATAGGGTAATTTTTAATGACCCATTCTTTGGAGAGCGCGATGGTTCCATATGACAAGCACTGGACTGCAAACAGGGTCCACAGTTTGAGCCCACCAGCCACTATGTGGAAGCAAAGATGAGGCTTTCTGTGCCATGAAGATTTAGAGTCACAGAAACCCTATACAAGTTCACAAAAGAGTCCAAACTTGTCTCCATGGCACTTAACAACAACATATTCTATTCTTATGTAAATCCATTCGTTAATTCATTCAGTCATTTAACAAATGTTTACTGATCACTTCCTGGGTTCCAGTGTCATGAAGCTCCTAGCCTAGTAGAAGACAGATGTTGATGAAGTCACCACAAAGTTAATCTAAAATTGCCATTCCACAGGGTCCCAGCAGAAAACAGAATCTAACTAGTTCAAATAAAGAATAGTTAATGAAAAGACTATTAAGAAAGGTGGAGGGTGGATTACAAGAACCACTAAGAAATATTGAGGTGCAGCAGTGGGTCTGAAGAGCAAGAGGCAGGGACAATGTTACTGGAGCCTTGGAGGATACGCTCTGTCCTGAAAAGAAGCAGCCACTCTTGGGAACACAAAGGACATGCCATGATCTTCTTTTCTCCCACTCTTCCATTTGCTGCCATTGCCTCCCATCAGTGAAACCCAGTAGAGACCAGTTTCACATGGAGTCTTGGTGCTGTAGTCCCCAGGAGTCAGCCTGCTGGGACAGAGAGTGGTAGGGGGAGTGGTTGGTTTATGGTTGTGTGCCATGGAGTCGATTCCGACTCATAGTAACCCTGCACAAGGTTTCTGAGGCTGTAAATCTTTATAGGAGCCAAATGCCTCATCTTTCTCCTGCGGAGCAGCTGGTAGTTTCGAACTGCTGACTTTGCAGTTTACAGCCCAATTTGTAACCACTATGCTACCAGAAAGATGAGGCTTTCTACTCCCGTAAAGATTTACACCCTCGGAAACCCTGTACAGGGTCGCTATGGGTCGGAACCGACTCGACGGCACTTAACAACAACAACAACATGCTACCAGAGCTCATTACGGGTAAGCAGAATGACTACCATAAGTAGCTGAGAGGAACATGATGCTGTTAAGCGTTGGTTGTGGGTGGGAGCAAGGACGGACTCCTTGAGGAAGTAACACTTGAGCTAACAAGTTTGAAGGAAAAAAAACCTGCAAGAAGAGAAGTCCTGGTTTGGTGCCCATAGGATAAGCACTTGACCTCAAGGTCAATTTGAGCCACAAGGTCAGCAGTTCAAATTCACCAGCTGCTCCTTGGAAACCCTATACCGGGTTGCTATTAGTTGGAACTGACTTTATGGCACTTTAACAACAAGGAGAGGTGAGAAGAGGCAAGTGTTGAGTATCGGTTAGCAATTTCTTGGAAGATGTCAGAACTTATATAATGTATATTATCTGGACCAATGCACCTGTGTCCACCCAACAAATAAATGTCAGTTAACTGGCTGGGAGCGCTTGGATATCTGGGGAGATGTTAGTGCAGAAAGCTATGTAAAATACTTGCCATTGAAAACATATGTATATTGTTTCCAATTCCAGGTAATATACCAAGGTATAGATGCAATTAAGTCTTCTATTGTAGATTCATTTCATTATCTAACCTCTTTTAACTGAGAATTCAGACACAGAAATGAGCACAAAGCAAAGATTCAAAGTGTAATACATTACAAAGTGAACACCTTGCAACCAACACCAGTCAAAAAAAAAAAGAGTATAGCCAATACAGTAGACACTCCCTCTGGTGATCCTATTACAATCTCTTCTCCCCCCACCCCCCCAAAAGGTAAATAAGACCCTGATGTTTTTTGGGTGAACACTATCTCTTCTTTATAATTTTTCCAACGAAGGAAGTTTCCCTAAACATAATATTTAAGCGTTGCTTGTGTTTTAAGTATAGAATGAAATGGAGTTTGTGTCTGGATTCTTTAGATCAACATTTTGTTTGTGATATGAATATTCTTGCTTGTAGCTGTAGTTTGCTCATTTTTTTCCATGCTGTATTGTGGCTCTTGGGTTAATGCGCTAGACAGCAAGGCTGGTTTGAACCACAAGGTCGGTGGTTCAAGCTCATCAGCTGCTCTTTGGAAACACTAAACAAGGTTGCTAAGAGTCTAAACCAACTCGATGGCACTTATAACAACAACATAGAAAACTGTTAGAGTGTGGATAGAGATTTGGATGGTCTGTTTGGGGCCAGTATAGATAATGTGGTGATGGAGTGTTGTACATGTGGTTCTTGGTGTTTGGGGGCATGCATTTCTACTGCATCTATAACCAGGAGATGAATTGCTAGATCATTGTAGATGTACATATATACATGTATATCTTCAGCATTAGTAGATAATCCCAAACTGCTTTCCAAAGTAGTTGCACCAATATACTCCCACCAGCAGCGTATTCAGTTGCTCTATGTTTACCACCATTGCCTGTCTTGATAATTTTAGTCATCTGGTGGTTTTTTAGTAAGCCACATTGTGAGGTTAGTTTGTTTTTTCCTGACTGATGAGGTTTAATATTTTTTCTTACGTTTATTGGCCATTTGAAATATTTTGAGGCACCACTGTTCACGTTACTTGTTCCTTTTTTGGTCATTTTTCTCATTGATTTTTAGGAATTCTTTATATATTCTGGATCTGAGTCTTTCCTTGCAGTATCTTCATTCTGTGGCTTGCCTTTTCACTCTTTTAAGAATGCACAGAAATTCTTAATTTTCATAGTGTCCAAATCCTTCATAGAATCCATTTGTATTTTATTGTATCCTGTTCTCAGGTGGTGTTATAGGATAAGCACTGGATGGCTAACTGTAAGATCAACAGTTCAAACCCATAAGCTGCTTCTTGGGGGAATGGTGAGGCCTTCTTCTTCTGTGAAGATTTATAACCTTGAGCACT